CCCCAAAACCCCAAAACCCCAAAACCCCAAAACCCCAAAACCCCTCTTGGGCAAATCATGAATTTTATTCGATTCTATTAAGATGAAATGGCAGATGTCCTATGAATATTCTGGTGTGGGTTATCTGGCCAAAGATAGTTATCTCTTCTTTGTAGGACTTTTCTTCTCACCCTTAGGCTTACAAGACCTTTGATGAACAGTCAATCTCTCAGGTAGGAAGGTACGACCTCATAGATCACAAGGTACAAGTGCCTTTTCATTGTAATTCTTGAAAGCTTCATCATTGTATTCATCCATTGCTTTAGATCCCATAGGGCTGATTTTCATCTCTTCGAATTTTTCAGGTTTCTGAGGTACTGGCCTTCTCTCCTTTTTAGGTTTCTTGGATTCTGTCTTTTCCCATAAGTCGATGCATTGCTTGATGTGGATATCAATACTCTTTGTACCATACTTTCTTCCGCAAATATAGCAGATAATGCCTGGAGGCATCGCACCAGGACCCTTTGAAGCAGGCTTAGAGATCTTGGTCTTTGGGACTCCTGTACTTTTTGCTTTGCCCAACCCTGCCTTTGGGCTTGATCTTACAGGGGATTTCTTTGCCCCTCCTCTCACAGGAGATCCCTTTGTAGGAGATCCCTTGGTTTTAGCTCCACCACAACTTCTTAAATGAATAACTAACCTATCTGGAAGGAAGGTTCTACCACAGTTTGGACATGGCTCTAGAGACTTCTCATTATATTCTTGGAAGGCTTCATCATTATAAGCCTGTTTGCTCTCTTCAGTAACTTTGCCACAAATGATATCCTCAAAGTTCTTTGGAGCTTCAGGCATCTTTCTTCTTTCCTTCTTTGGCTTTTTATTTTCCTCTCTCTGCCAGGATTCTTTGCACTGCTTGATATGGATGTCGATACTCTTGGAGAAGTACTCTCTTCCGCACAGATAGCACATTATACCCTGAGGCCTAGATTGCTTCTTCTTTTTCGATGCAAATGGGTCTGCATCCGTCCCGTGCTTTAAGTTACAAGATTTCATGTGAGATCTGAGACTGTCAGGGTTAAAAGTCCTTGAGCAATTTGGGCATTTCATTAAGCCGGCTTCGTTATAACTTCTCATTGCGATATCATTGTACTCTTCGATTTCTTTCATGTTGAGTTTGTCTTTAGCAAGTAAGACCTCTAGTTCAGCAGGAGCCTTAGGTAATTTTCTCTTGACTCCAAGATTCTTGCTCTCTTTCTTGAATTTATCCTCGCATTGCGGAATATGGATGGAGATGGATCCTTTCATAAATCCTTTACCACAAATGTAACAGAGTAATGACTTAGGACCTCTATTAGGAGACTTAGAGCCTTTTGATCGGCTTCCCATACTACCTCCCATGCCTCCTCCGCCTCCTAGGCTATCGCCTAGGTGAGATCCAGCTCCAGTCGAGGCCGAAGATCCAGAAGATTTGACTCCTTTACAACTTCTCATATGCACTTTTAGACTGTCAGGGTTAAAAGTCCTAGAACATCCTGGGCACTTTGACAACGATTTAGAATTATAGATATTAAAAGCAGCTTGATTGTAAGCCTCTAATGCCTTGGCTGTCATCTTCTTTTTATTCAGAATATCTTCGATTCCTTCAGGAGCGTCAGGTAGCTTCTTCCTCTCTGATTTGTCGAGGTTGGCTTGCTCATCATTAAACTTCTTCTGACATTGAGTATAATGTATCCCGTAGCTAGTAGTTCCGAATTCGCGACCGCATATATAGCAGGCGACTGACTTAGGTCCTTTCTTCATTAAGAAATTTTCTTAAATCTATTAAAATAATCAAATGGGGTTTTGGGGTTTTGGGGTTTTGGGGTTTTGGGG